AATTAATTATTATTTGCTTCATATGCAAAGAATATATCATATGATTGTACTTATTTTTTATAAATTAATAAATTAATTATTATTTACTTCGTAAAAAAAGTGTTAATGCATAATAAAATATTTAATAAATCAATTGGTGCATAAATAATTAATTCACCACATATTATCCTCATACCCTTTTTTTTTTTTTTTGCTTTTGTAAAAGTTAACAACATTACTATATTACATTAAAGGAGTGCTATTGATAATTCAATTTCAAATATATTAATTTTGACACAAATCAATTACCAATTAAAATTAAATAGGTAAAATAAAATAATTTCTCTAAAACTCTAACACAAATTACCTTTTATCATGAGTTTTTTTAATAAAAGGAAATCTAATTAGACAAGGATACATTTACTTATTTTATTTTCAATAAAACATATTAGACAATGATACATTTAAAGAGTTTCTATAAAATTTTAACACAAATTACATATTTATTTATTTATTATAAATTTTTTTAAAAATATATATATAATTAGACAAAAAATTATTAATATAAAAAATATTTATTAATTGATATAGAAAATAAAATAATTTCTCTAAAACTCTGCCACAAATTATCTTTTATTATGAGTTTTTTAATAAAAGGAAATTTAATTAGACAATGATATATTTAAATAAAATAAAATAATTTCTTTAAAAACTCTACCACAAATTACTCAATTTATTTTTAATAAAACTCTATCACATTAGATAAGAAAATATTTAAAAAGTTTATATAAAACTCTAACATAAATTACCTATTTATAAAAGAAAATCTAATTAGACAAGAATTATTAATATAATTTTTTTTATTAATTAATATATAAAATAAAATAAATTTTCAAAAATTCTACCACAAATTACCTTTTATTACAATTTTTTAATAAAAAGAAATCTAATTAGACAAGGATATATATAAAGAAAATAAAATAATTTCTATAAAAGTCTACCACAAATTACCTATTGTTTTTCAACAAAACTCTGTCACATTAAACAAAGATATATTTAAAGAGTTTCTATAAAACTTTTTCACAAATTACCTATTTATCTATTTATTATGATTTTTTTTTTAATTAAAGGAAATCTAATTATACGAGTATTATTAATTTTAAAAATATATTTATTAATTGATATAAAAAAGAGGTTTTAAAAGAGTTTCTATAAAACTCTAACACAATTTACCTATTTATCTATTTATTATGAGTTTTTTAATAAAAGGAAATCTAATTAGACAATAATTATTAATATAAAAAAATATTTATTAATTGATTTAAAAAGAGTTTTTAAACGAGTTTCTATATAAAATTTTAACACAAATTATCTATTTATTTATTCATTATGAGTTTTTAATGAAATAAAATCTAATGAGACAAAAATTATTAATATAAAAAATATTTATTAATTAATATAAAAAATAAAATATTTTTCTAAAACTCTACCACAAATTATCTTTTATTTTGAGATTTTTTTTTTTTAATGAAAGGTAATCTAATTAGACAAGAATTATTAATATAAAAAAATATTTATTAATTGATGAAAAAAGAGTTTTTAAAAGATTTACTTTGACACACATTACCTATTTATCTATTTATTATGAGTTTTTTTAATAAAAAAAATATACATTTAAACAATAATATATTTAAAGAAAATAAAATGATTTCAATAAAATCTACCACAAATTAGCGGTTTTATTTTCTATAAAACTCTATCACATTATATATTTATTATGAGTTTTTTAATAAAGTAAAATCTAATTAGGCAAAAATATATTTAAAGAAAATAAAATAATTTCTATACAACTCTACCACAAATTAGCTATTTTATTTTCTATAAAACTCTATCACAAATAACATGTATTTATCTATTTATTATGAATATATTTACGAAAAATAAAATAATTTCTATATAACTCTACCACAAATTACCTATTTTATTTTCTTTAAAACTCTATCACTTATAACCTGTATTTAAATATTTACTACGGGTTTTTTAATAAAAATAAATCTAATTAGGCAAGGATATATTTAAAGAAAATAAAATAAATTTTTAAAAGAGTTTATATAAAACTCCAACACAAATTACCGATTTATCTATTTATTGTGAGTTTTTTAATTAAAGAAAATCTAATTAGACAAGAATTATTAATATAAAAAATATTTATTAATTGATATAAAAAATAAAATAATTTTTCTAAAACACTAACACAAATTACGACTTTTTAATAAAAGAAAATCTAATTAGACAAGGATATATATATATATATATATATATATATATATATATATATATATTAAAAGAAAATAAATAATTTCTATAAAATTCTACCACAAATTACCTATATTATTTTCAATAAAACTCTATCACATTAAATAAAGATATATTAAAAGGGTTTCCGTAAAACAGTAACACAAATTACCTAAACTCTACCACAAATTAACTATTTTTAAGAAGAAAAAAAAAAAAAAAAAAAAAAAAAAACTCTATCACAAACAACCTATATTTATCTATTCATTTTGAGTTTTTTAATAAAAGGAAATCTAATTAGACAACGATATATTTAAAGAAAATAAAATAATTTCTATAAAACTCTCTCACAAATGACATTATTTTTTAAATCTCTACAACAAATTCTCTTTTTTATTTTCTATAAAACTCTATCATATCAAACAATGATATATTTAAAGGAAATATATAATAATATAATAATACATATAAATAAAATATAAAAGTGTAAATATTTTTAGAATTTATTTTTTAATATAAAAAATTTATTAATTAATTTAAAAATGAACTCTATCACATATAATCTCTGCATTTATCTATTTATTATGAGTTTTTTTAATAAAAGATAATCTAATTAGATAAGGATATATTATATAAATAAAATAAAATAATTTCTATAAAATAATTAAAAAATCTATGAAAAGAAAAATTGCACAAGTTATAAAACATTCATCATTAGTGTGTGTGTGTGTGTGTGTGTTTGCTTTCTGGCAGAAGACGCTGGAGGAGAGATTTGTTGCTACGAGCGGCTATGTAAAATAGAAATGTTGTTGGGTTAGAGTTAGGAATTGTTTATATATAAATATGGGCTCATGGATCTGATTTTTCTATGAGCCTTCGTTGGGTAAGACATAAGTTTAATTATATTTCACTTTTGATGGGCCATCTTATGCATACACTAAATGGGTCTTTTATATATAAAAATTAATATACAGGTTACTGACCCGAGGAGACTTCTTGTTCCTCTTGCTCGACCACATTGTGAGAAGGTCCATATGCTGTATTCAGTTAATCTAGGAAGGGAAGAAAAGGAGCAAGTAGAAAAGAGAGGAAAAGAAAGAATTTTGGATTGGTACAGTTTTTTTGTGAGAAGGTCCATATGCTGTATTCAGTTAACTTTTTGAAACTTCTCATATTGCAGAGAGATTCAGATGGTCACACTCCTTACAGCATCCTTCTACAAAATGCAGAAACAGTTGCCCTAGTCTGTCCCCACCAAGGTCTATTATGCCCTTACACATAATTTTCTTGAAGCCTACTCGATTTTTTAATCGTATTCTTCATTTTCTAGATTTAATCTGTGACCTCTACTCTTTGCCAGGAAATGGACATAAAATGATGGCCATTCCAGTAACTTCACTCAAAGTTGGCGACGAGGTTCTTCTGAGAGTACAAGGAGGTGCTCGACACACGGGAATTGAGATCCAAGAATTCATTGTTGAGAAATGAACACGATTTGTATCCTATAGAACTGGTTTGTCATTATCACACGGTGACATGTTCATTGTCATATGTTGCTGAGTTTCAACCTATGGACCTTAGAGATGGCAAATACTGTGATGTTGAAGAAGATTGTGATCTGTCTAGGACCATCCCCGTCACATTTGAGAAACCAAATCAAATCAGTTACCCTATGCAAGTGTGGCTACTGTTGTATTATTTGTGATACTACAGTCAATAATGAAGAATTTCTGGTGATTCTGATCCTATTTTGCCTCCTCTCTTTGCTTCAACAACCAATACAAATCTTCCCAAATTGATTAGCAAGCCTTTTTGTAAATCACCAGACTGATAATCGAAACCTATGGTATTATGAATTGTACTTTCGGTGTATGATTTATCTGTTACCGAAAAGAAATAAATAAAAGGATTTTTTTTTTTTTTTTTTCTAAATGGAGACAGACAATTTGAAGCTTCCATAAAGGGTTACTGGTCAAGTATTGCGAAGGGAGTGGTTTGAAAATTAAAATTTGAGAAAAACAATTTAAAATATCAAATAAGTTTGAAGTTTCAAATATTTTTAATAAAATGATAAAAAGAAAAATCGGATATTAAACTGTGACCCTTTGTAATAAAGGAACTCAACGAAAAGCTTAGAAGAAACTTATTTGGATATGATTAAGACGAAGACAATTCAGAAATCGTTCACAAAATAATGAAATTCTTACTACTCTATGGTTTATACTTACTGTTGGAGGGTGCGTTTTCATCAATCAACTTGATCTTGAATATAAATGGAAGTTCGAAGCAACAGAAGAATGTCGAGTTTCACGCGAGGTCAATCACGAATAGTTAATTTGCCTAAAACACGAAAGGATAAAAGAATTGACAGGAGTTAAGAAACTACAACCATAAGCTATATGTTTACTGATAAAATGTTCAAGCATTAACTACAATGATGATTCCCTTACTTGCTTCATAAAAAATCGAGAAATGTACTGGTGCCAAATCTACCATATATCGTTCATTTTATTACAACTGGATATATACCTAGAGAGAACAGAACTGAAGCATGGTCATTGCGCGGGAAGAGTTGTGGCTGCAGCAGTCTTCTTAAAATCTATTTTGTCAACCTTCACCTCCCCATCAATGAGTTCATAAACATAGACAACAACACGCAAGCCATCAACGTCCATGAGCACAAAACTTGGGTTCGCATCATAGGTGATACTGCTGTACGCACCAGTGGCAGACCCAGGATTTATGACAACGCCACCCTCATGTTTGTAGGCCTTTAACTGATGGGTGTGGCCGCTAATAAGGATGCCCACATCTAACTGTCTCTGGAGCATCGCTAGAGAGTCCAGGTCTCCCCATGGAACGATCTTCAGATTATGAATGCATGATAAGAACTTATTAGTGTTATTAAGTTACAAAACAAAATGAGAACAATATGAATATTTAGACAGTACCAAGTGACGATTCATTTTGTAATGATGTAGATACCATTGGTACTTCGAGAAATAAGAAAATGGTAGATCCGGGAACTGGCAATAGAAAATTCATAATACCACTGTGCTTGGAACAAGTAGGATAATCAGTTAACAACTTCATAAGATGCCTCCTTGCTAAAATTTGATTTTTGGTATAAATAAAGGCGTCAGTCCTACCAATCAGAGTGATATCAGAGTGATGGGAGGAGTTCGCTGGATGTAGACCTACACCAAGTATTATTTGGAATTGGTTATTCTGAATCTCGAAACCATGTTCTCCCTCTTGATAATTCGAGCATTTTGATATTGCACCAAGCAATGACCCCTCAAGCTTTCACTATATACTGGAAAAAGTATATTTGTAAGATTAAATTTGGCACCATGCTTGTGGAGGTTGAAGAATCAAATCAAATCAAATCTGGTGATCCTTGCAGCAATACTGAAAGAGGGAGAAGAATCAAACCTGATGACCATGGCATAACCCAAGTTTAAATTGTCCAATGGTAAGTGTTTTGGTCTCTGGATAGCGGGAATCCTCATCGTATTCACCTCGTGTAACATTCAAGCTTGGACAAAGGCTCTTCAAGTAATCATGAACTTCCTGCTCATGGAAACAACCGAAGAAGTACGCTCAGGTACACAACATTTTAGCAAGGTACAAATAAATATGGAAAGAAAAATGTGAAGTGTTTCCCCTTGTGGATATCAGTTATAGTACCATGCTCTGTGTCGACAGCACCACCTGCCTTATATACACATAAATTAAGTAAATGGGACAAACAACGTAAATTACATTCACAAGGCAAGCAACTTTACTATCATTGGTACAACCACCCGGTGCTTGATGAACTTGCACCTTTTTTCTTACACTGAAAATTTTAGTTCATAGCAATTGATGGTAGCAGTTGATTGTCACTAACTTGAAAATCCAAGGCAGCAAAACTAATCATCATCATCCTAATTCCTTGCCCATCTCTTATTAATTAGATCGGTCACATGAATTCTCTTTTTTCATTCTTTTCTATTATAAACTCTCACCTACAATATATAACCTTGTAAAATACTTATCAAAAATAAAAATAATTAACTTTGTAAAATCATTTCTAAAAATTTCATCCAGTGTTAATTTGGGACTCCTTCACTGTCTAACTTTTATGTAAATTGGTCGCCCTCTTTGTACCAGTCCATTTATGTCTTTGCACATGTCTTATACCACCTAAGTTGACTTTCTCTTAGTCTAATAGGCACTACTCCTATTTTATTCCCTCACATTTTGATTAGTAATCCTATCTCTTCTAGTCACTCCTATCATCCATCTTTACATCCTAATTTCTGCTATTGTTGTTCATGTTTCTTTTTCAATGCCAGAGATTGTGCAACATATAAAATAGTTGGCCTAATAACTGCTCTGAAAAATTTTCCTGTTAATTTATTTGTTATTTTCTATTCCATAAAACACCACAAATAAATTAAAAGAACAGTTATCAGGCAGCAAAACTAATTATTATCACCAAAAAAAATAACATTGTAAAAGTAATATCTAAATTTTTTAATTTCCATCAAAAGAAGGGGCCTTTTGAATTCTTCAAATAAGTCAATGTTTCTCGAACAGATATTCAAATACTGCATTAATTAAATAGTCTCTCATTCAAACAACTCTCCAACTCCTAACCCACCAGGTAACCTCTTAGTCACAGGGAAGCCTACACACAGACAAAAAGCCAAAGCAATAAGCATGGGTAAACAACAACCAAACTGAAGGACTCACACCGGATTTGTTTTTGTTTTTGGTGGCCAAGGATGATGAATTGCAGTGGCAGCGACTGACACCTCTATCAGAAGGCAATCATGCATGCTCCAGTCCGGGAGGTGTAAATATCTTATTGAAGGCAGTGAACATTGTTATTATATGGTGTCACAAACAATCTTGCACTTGTACCTGCAAAGAGCATATTGCCAACTGAAAATAACTATTGATATGGCAAGCTAATGTTGTCGTTGAAATCTAATGGTGCACCATTCATGCCAAAATCCAATAATTAAAGAACAAGTCTGCCTAAAAAAAAGGCTTCAAATGCCTAAAAATTTTACTACCTCTTTCACAAACCAATCTAGAACCGAGATCTTCAATGCCCAAAGATGCCAATGAGATACGTGGCAAGAGTGCCGCTTAAAAATTTCTTTTGCAACAAAATGACCAATCCCATTGTCAGCCTTTCTAGATAGCTAGATTGTCAACAATGTGAGATAATCTCCTATCTCCTTTCAACTTGAATGATGGAAGAATTTCTCTGGCGATCTCAACACTGCCATATATCTATTTCTAACGGTCATCACTCTGTGGTCCCTACCATCCTCTATTGTCGATTTGTAGCTCACCGACACTCTACCATCATGCCATTCAAACTATCAATTTTCTGCTATGGAGAACTGTCATGCGGCTTAACAAGGACATAATTTAAATGGTGGTAGGCATATTCACATCAACCTATACACACAAGAGAGCTTTCAGAAGACACAGTTTCAACATTGGAAAGTTAAAGCTAGCTATCAAAATCATCTCTTATCTAACTGAAACTTAATACAAACACTATATGGGAGGCAAACTCGACAAGCATGGGGTTCCAAGTGTTTGTCAAGCCAAAAAAAATTATAATTTTGCACAGTTAAACCTAATCAAACCGGAGTTGGGACACCTACCAAAATAATAAATAAAAGAATCAAGTAACCACAATAAACTCATGCCTTCAGGCAATTCTTCTCGATTTTGTGTTTATGGACACAAGGATTAAATTATGGTCAAACAAGGAAAATCAAATGCATGTTGTGAATGAAATTCAGAGATTGGTTCCAGCATCAGTTATTATTTGATTAAAAAATAAAAATAAAAATACAATAATTCAAAGAGGATTAAGCAAAAAAAAGAAAAGAAAAAAGAACACATACACAATCAACAAAACATTAGCAAACCCAGAAAAAGAAAAATCAAAATATTGAGAAGAAGTGGGGTACTTTTATACAGAGATTGCCTGTGCAAATGATGTGCTGGATCTTGCCAGTAACAAGCATGGATTTGAACTTTGCTGGTAGATCAGGTGCCCTGTGTGGGATGTGAAGATCCCCAATTGCCAGCACTAACACCATTCTTTTCTACTTCAATAGTTTACATAAACACCCAATGCTCAAAATTTCATCACAATCTGCACCAAAAATTACAATAACTAAATTAACACCCCAATTAATGCCTAAGAACACAAATCTTTCAAAATTCTTGACAAAAAAACGGATATTGTAATTGATTCCTTAACATCACCTAACAGACTAACCCTAAAAGATAGAGAAGAGTGAAAAATTCTATACAAATTTTAGGTTTTAGTGGTGAAACACCAAAATTTCAAATTCCATACGGCTTTATTTTCAAGATCTACATCAAAAACCTAAAATCGCAATTAAATATACAAAAACGTATATATATATATATATATATATATATATATATATCAGCATATGAATACATGTACAGACATATTCAAATCAACACTTACATTTGGGGATTTACTCGTATAATATATTCAATTGCTTTTCTTGAAAATCTCCACCTCCTCCTCGTTCGATGATGAAAGAGATGCAAACACGCATGAGCACTTTTTATTTTTTATTTTGGATTAATTACACTCACACTCTGAAGTTTCCCTATTAACAAGTTAACCTATTTTTTAACAGTAACACCTCCTTAACTTTTGTAAAGTTAACAATGACACCCCATTTGTTTTTAACACAAGGTAAATTGATTTTAATGACCTTTGATTGGTCAATTGACCTATTTAAATCACAAATTTACTATTTTAACCTTTTAGTGATCTTTTACATATCAAACTCACCCAACACACTTCAATAAGGCTATATTTGGTACGATGGGTTTGAAAGGAGAGGATAACATTAGTTATAAGGGAAAGGGAAAGAAAAAATAATTTTATTCTCCTATCGTGTTTGGTTGATTATTGAATGGAAAAGAAAGGGAAGGATAACAATCATGTTTGGAGAAAAAAATGAAAAGATAGGAAGGAGAATTATTTTAATAAATTTACTATTATATCCTTTTATATTTTAAAATATAAATATATATATATATATATATATGTGTGTGTGTGTGTGTGTGTGTGTGTGTGTATTTGTCTCCTATAAGGCCCATGGATCAACCACTAGAAAATGATTTTTTTTTTTAGGGCAAATCATTTCAGCCTCCATCTCTATTCTCGTTCTCAACTCTGAACTTGCCCTTCTCTCTCTCTCTCTTTCTCTTTACAATTGCAAACTACTACAAGAATCAGAAGTTCAAAACCCATATATTTCAGTTTATATATTTGTTTGCAAGAATCAAAAGTTCAAAACCCATATCGGCATCATTTCAGATTGTTCAAAAAATCAAAACCCATATCGATCTTTTAGTTTCCATTGCCCGTTGTTCCAATTCGGGTTCGTTGTTAACAAGCTTCAGCCGCTGGCCCTCTTTTTCTCAACTCTCAAGCTTACCCCCCCTCTCTTTCTACAACTGCTAAATCAACTAATCAAGGTCTGTAATTCTTGTTTTGCAAACTAAATTCACATGTAATCAAGGGCAAAATTGGCATCAGAAATCACACACTAAGCCTCTCCTTCCCTTTCCTTTCATTTCCTCCCATTTTTGGGAGGTTAAGAAATTCACTATTGAAGCCTTGTGTTAACATTCCAAACCCTTCCCTTTCCTTCACTTTCCTTTCAACAATTTTTGCCAAACATAAATTTTTAACCCCCATCCATCACCTTCCCTTCCCTTTCCTCCCTTTTCCATTACACCAAACTGACCCTAGGAAAGAGCAACCTACTTCCCAATTGTAAAAGATACTCAAGGCTGATTCGAAGATAAACTCAAGCTGAAAGAATCAATTGATTACTTACAAGCTCTCACCAAATAAACAACAATAACAACCCACTGTCTCAATATTTAGTCACAAAATTGATAAGTTTATATATATATGTATGTATATGCTTATGTTTCTGTTCTGATTTTGATCGTGTTATATGTGTATCAGTCATTGTGCAATGTGTATGGGATTAGAGGTAGGATGAAGAGAATGGCATTTTTGGGTCTGAACAAAGAAGGTAAAAGTAGAAGAAATCGAAGAAAAGCTCCATTAAGAACCACCACCACCACAAGAATTTCAATGGAAATAACCGTAATTTGATGACATAGGTATATGGTATATGTGTGTGCGCACGCGTTGTGTGTGTATGGAATTTATATGTATATACTTCATCTGTTTCAATTTAAGTGTCGCTTTTGGGGAGTAGTAATTTTTAAGGGGACATGTAGAACATGCATTGTCTCCTTAGAAAGTTATTAATTTGCATTTTTAAGTTTTGAATATTAAAGTTTGAAATTTTAAACTCAAAAGACATATATAGAAAGATGTGAAATATATTGTTTGGAAAAGAAAAGTGGACAATTATTTTGGGCCAGATCAAAAAAAAAAGTATGACATATTTTTTTTGAGACAGAGGGAGTATGTATGTATATGTGATTGGTGACTGAGCAATGGGATTGAAACAAAAGAAACTTCCAACATCTACCTCTCTACAATGGAGGGAGGCCTCAAAATTGAAACAGCCAGACCTAAAAAGGCCACAAACCTTAACACCCTATAGCAGTATTATGCAAATTAATTAAATTATTATGTAATAAAAAATTAAATTAAATTGATAAGTCAAAAAGCACAAACTTTTTTTTAAAAAAAATAATTAATTAAATTCTTGTGCAAATTAAATGACTATTTTTATTTATTTAGGAAAAGTGACTCTTTTTTAATTAATTAAATTATAACTATATTTACATTAATTAATTAATCCAATACACATACAATAATTATTTTACATATCATCACACAATATCACTTTTCCATTTTATATCATTATCACACACAATGGCCCATTACGTCAGGCGCTACTTTATTCTTCATTGGTGGAGTGTGGAGTGTGTAATATGACATGGGGCCAACCTGTGTGTAATGCGCATAGTAAAGGCTTTCATTCAACACAGTTTCAGATATTGTACACTACTGCCTTACGCTGGGTTGCTTTAACCAACTAATCAATGGCAGATTCAAGGTAGGGCTGGGCTGGGCTCCAGCACACCCCAATTTTTATTTTATTTTATTACTATGGGTAATTGTAGCCCAGTCCCAAAATAAAAATAATAAAATTATTATTAGTATTAACCAATCCAAACAAGCCCAAGTTAGTTAAGCCACAATACTGAAATAAAGGTCTAATGTAATGTTTCCAATTTTCGGCATTTTTCATTCATTTTTTTCATTTTTTCTGAATTTTGTCGCCGCAAAGGCATTTTCGTCTTTTCACGTTTTGCGTATGGGATTTTAGTTAGGTTTAATTGCATTTCATACTTTTTATTTTATGTAAATTATGTATTATTCCTATAGTGGTGCATTGCATGTATTTGTGTGGTGTGGATTATAAGATAAAAGAAAAAGGGAAAAGAAAAGGATAATGGTGGGACCCACCACTATCACATTTGTAGGCAAGTGACCACATTTTTTTGGTCTCTTATCTCTCATTCTCCCGTAGCTCTCTCTTCTCCTTCTCTTTTCTTCTTTATTTCATTTTGTTTTGTAACAAACTTTGAATCAAGATTACTCCTTCAATATTTGGAAATTTTGAGTGTCGTTTGCGGCAAAACGGAGAGCACGGCGAGCTCTACACGTGTGTACCAACGATTCCAGCTTTGAGCCTCCCTAGGAATTTCGAAATTCTTGACCCACTTTAAGGGTTTTGCACAATTAAGAGGTAGGAGTCCTTAATCCATGAAGTCTTGTGCTTTAGTGAGTTAATTTACTTGAATTGTGTCTTAGAATGCTTAATTGTGTTGATTTTAGTTTAAAATGACTTGATTGAGATATGTGAAAAGTATGCTTATATGTGGAGTTCCTATGTCTATTATGTTGTTAACATGCTAGATTTTATTGTATGAAAACATGTTGTAATTCATTAAAAATTCTTATGAATTGTGCTTTGCCAATTAAATTTTGAGTAATTGTTGAATGATGGGCAAAGACATGATATTGATACATTCATGCATTGACATTGGGCGTGAAAAAGGGAAGAATTGTTTTGATACAAAAAAGGAGAATTTTGGGAAGTGTTTTGATGAAATGGTTTTATGGAAACTCGGTCGCCGCGGAGTCACTAGAGGGCCGGTAGGTTAATGTAGCCTAGAGGGAATTAGGGAGACTGCCCAAGAGTGGTTGAGCTATTTGGACCCCATAATGACGTTGTGGAGATACCAACGGTCAGGGACAGTAGCCAATCCTTCTTTCTCGGCATTGAGGGGGTACCAAAGGGGGTTACATTAACGGTTTAAAAAGTGATGGATTTGAATGTTGAAAACGGGGAGCGACATCGGCATGCATTGCATTACATTGCACCGTATTGTTTATGTTGAGATTAAATATGATGTCGTATTTTCCCGACATGGTATGATCCCGCTTCCCATTGTCCTATTCATTGTTTGGATTCACGGGGACACAAAAGACATGTCTTAAGTGCCACTTGCTGAGCTTACAATATATGTCGAAGCGTAGAATTGCTTGATTCCTTTATTAGAGGTCTAAGCCTCTATTTATATACAAAAGATTGTAAAATTATGGTAGGACTCGCGTTGCTTGCCCTTCAATTCTTTCGATATAAACATTCTTTACTAATAGAGTTCTTTCCATTGTCTAATTTTCCATACATAGAACTTGCCTTGTACAGAACTTCCTATCTCAGAATTTTCCTTCTACGGTAAATCCTTCAACTGGTAGGACTTGTGCATTCTTGAATAACTGGGCTGAACATACTTTGATCCGGCTGGGTTTGAGTAACGGACCGGATGTTAAATATTAACAAGTTGGGCTGATGACTTCTTGATTCGGCCTTGATGGAGGTTGGAGGACAAATAACAATGGTCTTGG